TCACTGGTCTAGAGTCATGTTTCCAGCAAAATATCAAGGGGGGGGGGAGAGAAAAGAGCTGCAACCCTTCAGCCCAAATGAGAAAGATAAAAATGGACAGGGCCAAGCCTGCTGAAGGGAGGGGGCAGTCTCAGAGGCGGTTACATTGGGGTGGATGACCCAGCCTCTTCTACCCCTTTACATACATCCAGTTTCCCCATGAAAAGATGCTTCTGCTGCCACAAAATGGAAAACACAATTTTCATTGCAATGTGATTTTAGCTATCTCAGTGGCAGGCTACCAACAAGATGAAGGCTTTGGTGTAAGGACATGGAAGTGGGTGGGTCATCTCTGTCCTGATAAAAAACCCTATACAGATAAAAGTAAAGATATGGAAGAAGAGGGCAAGAATAACAATTGGATACAAATCAGGTGAGGAAGTATCATATGGGATGGTCATTTTCTCAAGCAACATTTTCGAAAACGTCCAGCTGAAATCCGCAAGACATTTTCCATTTATTTTAGATAGAAATGTCTGTCCCAAGGCTTTCGCATCCAACACGATGCAGATATCAATGTACCATTTCAAATTAGCAAATAAAATTTTTGAATTCATCTTCTATTTTTCTGATTCCTTTCTATACCTGGGACAACATAAGCCCACAACTTTTCACCTAAATTCAGCAGTTTTCTTGCTGATCCAGCTCTGATTACCAGCAATAATTCATCATTCTGTGATTAAGCAAAATATGATATTGCATCTGAATTCAGTGAGTTCAGATGCCGTATCATATTTTGCATAATCATCTTCTCTCTGTTACACTGTGACAAGGTCCTACCAGTAATTCTTAATTTAATGTTCCTTTAATAAGAACAGCCAAGTTCATTCCCGCATGTTCTAATTACAGCCAGCCTCTTAAAATTATTTACTGTTAATTCATCATCTGTAGAATGACTCATGCACATGAGGTAAATTGCAAATTATCAGTAAATAACAGAAGTTGTATATTTTTATTGCAAGCTAAACTGAGGGATGAACACGAGTTGTTAGCCTTTCCTCTCTTATGATCTAATCTAAGTACAGATATAATCTACAGTATATGGGAGAGGCTCGCTTTAGATATTTCCCATAATATATTTTTGACTCAAGAGTGAGTTGTTTTTTTCCACTGTAAATGCAATAATAAAATATCCAAATGCTGCTTAAACATGTGAAGCCCAAATTAGTTTTAGATAAATGCATACATTACAGTACAGGTAGTCCTCAACTTACAACCACAATTGA